TTGTCGCCAGGCACCAGTCTGGAGTGCAGTGGCGCGATCTTGGCTCACTGCAACCTCTGCCTCTCAGGTTCAAGCATTCTTCCTGCCTCAGCCTCCCGAGGAGCTGGGACTACATGCACGCACCACCACACCCAGCTAATTTTCGTATTTTTTCTTTAGTAGAGACGGGATTTCACCGTATTGACCAGGATGGTTTCGATCTCTCGACCTCGTGATCCACTCGCCTCGGCCTCTCAAAGTGCTTGGATTACAGGTGTGAGCCACAGCGCCCGGCCCAGGCGGATCTCTTGAGGTCGGGAGTTTGAGACCAGCCTGGCCAACATGATGAAACCTGTGTCTATTAAAAATACAAAAATTAGCCAGGCACGGAGGCGCATGCCTGTAATCCCAGCTTCTCAAGAGACCAAGGCAAGAGAATCGCTTGAACCCGGGAGGCAGAGGTTGCAGTGAGCCGAGATCGTGGCACTGCACTCCAGTCTGGGCAATAGAGTGAGACTCAGTCTCAAAAAAAAAAAAAAAAATCTTTACATTAGGAAATAATTTTCTTCCCTCCTTCCTTCCTTCCTTCCTTCCTTCCTTCCTTCCTTCCTCCCTCCCTCCCTCCCTTCCTCCCTCCCTCCCTCCCTTCCTCCCTTCCTTTTTTTTTTTTTTTTTTTTGCATTCAAACTCAAAGTCAAAGGAAATAATTTTCTTATGGAAACCATGTTGTAAATGATGGTTGAGTTCCCAGCTCTAGATATTAAAAAAAAACTTCTGAGCTTTTAATGGTTGTGCATTGTGGTAGTTTTGCAGTACTTAAAGATTTATAGGTGCAGTGATAAAGTGGACCCAAACAGGATTTCCTTGTTTATTGTTGTTCCTTAGATGCTGCTTGAATCTAGGGCTTCCTTTATAATACAAAACTGCTGCCTTGTAGGGGCTATATCTGTATCATTTGTATTAATAGTGACCCTGGAGCTTTGTACTTTCCAGAACCTATGTGGGCATATGTGATTGCCTTGTAGTAAGTTAAAGGAAGAAAAAAATTAAATCGCTAACAATGAGTTTAGTATTTTCACAAGTAGCAAATACTTTGAAATTTAGTTGAGATTTATCTGCTTTACATATTCAGTCTAATTTAAATCCTCGCTTTATAAATTCAGAGCCATTATTCAGTGCTCCAAAATCCTCTACGGGTTTGAATTTAAAACATTTAGCTAGGTGGGGTTTAAAGTGGTGGTAAAACTGCTCCTTCAGGATGTTTAGTATTAAAAAAAAAACTTAGAGTGAGTGTAGCCTCTACAGCTCTATTTGTCCAAGCAGGTCTACATACTTTTAGAAAACACACTGAATTGATTTATGTTACAAAAAGTCATCAGGCCAATTTGTAAGCAGTGATACCTGCTTTAGTTTAACAATGGGCACCTTGCCTGGGGTCCGAACATTGCTACCTTGATAAGTCATTCATTTAGAATGTACCATAATTTTTATTGAATCTAACATGTGTCAACTATAAGATTAATCATTTTGTGCATTACTGAGAAATCATACTGCCAGGAAGACACTGGCACATCTGACACAGACTTTTCTTGTTAGAATTATCTTATTATTTTTTTTTTTTTAAAATGCTCTTTTAAACTTACGTAGCAAATAAGAATGGATTTTTATTATGTAGTATATCCTTTTATTGCATGTATGAAAATGAAAGTAGAAGTAAAATAAATTTGTTAAGATAGCTCTAAAATTTCTGGGTATTTAGAGTCTGACTTTTCTAAATGATTTTTGAACTTGGCATTGTAGAATTCTCCTGCTTTGTTCCTCCCTCTCCCCACCAGTCATTCAAAGTGTTGGTGATGCAGTAGTTAAGGGAATGCTCTATTATTTTGACATCCATTAAAAATTTAGTCATTTGGCCGGGCGCGGTGGCTCAAGCCTGTAATCCCAGCACTTTGGGAGGCCGAGGTGGGTGGATCACGAGGTCAAGAGATCGAGACCTTCCTGGTCAACATGGTGAAACCCCGTCTCTACTAAAAATACAAAAACATTAGCTGGGCATGGTGGCGCGTGCCTGTAATTCCAGCTACTCAGGAGGTTGAGGCAGGAGAATTGCCTGAACCCAGGAGGCGGAGGTTGCGGTGAGCCGAGATCGCGCCATTGCACTCCAGCCTGGGTAACATGAGTGAAACTCCGTCTCAAAAAAAAAAAAAAAAAAATTGGCCTTTGTTCAGACAGCTCTGACACAGCTCGCACCTAGCCAATAGCATTTGTAAGTTTGCATCAGTTTTAAGATGCATTCTTATTTCAGAGAAATTAAAATGTTTAAAAAAAAGGTGTTTTACTTTTTTTTTTTTTTTAATTTTAATTTTGTTTTTAATTGAGACAAGGTCTTGCTCTGTTGCTGAGTCTGGAGTGCAGTGGTACAATTACGGCTCATTGTAGTCTCAATCTCCTGGGCTTATGTAATCCTCCCACCTTAGCCTTCCTAGTAGTTGGGACTACAGGCTAGCACCATCATGCCTAGCTAATTTTTGCATGTTTTTGTGGGGATGGGGTTTTGCCATGTCGCCCAGGCTGGTCTTGAACTCCCAGGCTCAAGTGGTCCACCCACCTTGGCCTCCCAAAGTGCTGGGATTATAGGTGTGAGCCACCATGCTCCACTGTTACATTTTCTTTGAATCATCAGTTGTTTTAAGAGGTGAGGAGGGTACCAAGTTTACCTTAGCTTTAGTCTGGTTTGCGTCCTTTGTCTGGTGGGGGAGTAGGGAATCAGGGTCAAGCGAGAACATGATAATCTCCCTTGGAGTCTGCTTGGTTGACAAAGGGCCAGAAGTGCCTTTCAGAAGGAAGGCTGATTATTAAGGTTTACACACTTTTTACTTTGCTGTTTCTAAGCTTTAGACATATTTGTAGTTTGTTATTTTTTAGATCATTTAAACAGAGGCAACAGGGTGATAAAGGGAGAGAATCCTTAAGTTGGTCCCCAGTGGCCTGTGTGATGTATCTGAGAGATATTTTACAGTATACAGTTGTCCCTCAGTATCCATGGGGATTGGTTCCAGGATGTCCTTCAGATGTTAAAATCCTTGGATGCTCAAGTCCCTAATGTAAAATGGCATAGTATTTGTGTATAACCTACGTACATTATTCTATATACATTAACACCTCTAGATTACTTATAATGCTAAATACAACATAAATTCTGTGTAAATAGTTGTTATGCTGTATTGTTTAGGGAAAAATGACAAGGAAAGGAAGTGTCTATACATGTTGGTACAGATGCAATTAAATTTTTTCCATCTGAGGTTGATTGGATCTGTGGACACAGAACCTGTGAATATGGAGGGCCAGTTATATTTACAATGTTTATAGTATTTTCCATCCTTTAAGATCTCATATCTTAAGATTACTTTCAAAATATCACTTGTGACCAGCCTGTCCAACATGGTGAAACCCCGTCTCTACTAAAAATTCAAAAACCAGCAGGGTGTCGTGGCGTGCACCTGTAATCCCAGCTACTCAGGAGGCTGAGGCAGGAGAGTCTCTTGAACCTGGGAAGCAGAGGATGCAGTGAGCTGAGATCATGCCATTACACTCCAGCCTGGGTGACAGAGCAAGGCTCTGTCTCAAAAAAAAAGAGAAAGAAATGTCGCTTGTGAAACTCATTAGCTTATTATTATTATTATTATTGTTTTATTTATTTATTTTTTTAGGAGATGGAGTCTCACTATGTTGCCCAAGCTGATCTTGAACTCCTGGGCTCAAGTCATCTTCCTGCCTTGGCCTCCCAAATTATAAATTTATTTTTATTTATTTTTTAGAGACGTGGTCTCACTCCACCACCTAGGCTGGAGTGTAGTGTCAGGACCACAACTCACTGCAGCCCCAAACTCCTGGGCTCAAGCTATCCCTCTGCCTCATCCTCCCAGGCAGCTAAGACTCCTGGCGTGTACCGCTATGCCCAGTTATCTTTAAATTTTAGAGACTACGCTTATATTTTTGAGCCCAGGAGTTAGAGACCACATCTCCAACTCTTGGGCTCAAATGATTCTTCCATCTCTGCTTCCCAAAGCACTAGAATTACAGGTATAAGCCACCTTGCCTGGTGGTTCCTGGCCTTCTCCAATATGCTTTTTAAAAGAAGCACTAGGCTTAAGAGACTGAGACAGGAAGATCACTTGGGGTCAGGCTGAGTTTGAGACCAGCCTAAGCAACATTGAGACACACTATCTGTTAAAAAAAAAAACATCACTAAGATGTGAAGTGCTGATAAGCAGAAGGTGAGGACAATTGTGGCAGAAGCTATGAGATAGGTAAGGAGGGTCCTTATTTTTATAATCTTTGATGTACCTTATGGTGATAGGGGAACCATTACTAGGAAGTAATACAAATTAACATGTCGGTGGCTCACGCCTGTAATTCCAGCACTTTGGGAGGCTGAGGTGGGCAGATCATGAGGTCAAGAGATAGAGACCATCCTGGCCAACATGGTGAAACCCCGTCTCTACTAAAAATTCAAAAAACAGCCGGGCATGGTGGCACGTGTCTGTAGTCCCAGCTACTCGGGAGGCTGAGGCGGAAGTTGCAGTGAGCTGAGTTTGCACCACTGCACTCCAGCCTGGCGACAGAGCTAGACTCCGTCTCAAAAAAAAAAAAAAAAAGAAACTAACATGTAAATATATTACCCTTTATTCACTCCCCATTGCTTCAGGGTTAAAGGGAGAGAATCCTTAACTTGGTCTCCAGTTCCCTGCCTAGGGAACTGTTCCTGTCTGTCTCACTAGCTTTGTCTTATCCTATGCCTTCTTCCCCCAGGTTAATATAGAAAGGTGGGGAGTCAGAATATAAGGGTTGATTTATTCATTTCACTTTGCCTGCTATATTATTGTTTTAAATAGGAGTTTTAAAATCTCATTCTTGTGACTCTGAGAGGAGCTTAAATAAAATACTCTCTTGTTGTGCTTTCTGGTCTGGAATTCTGCATTCAATACCTGATTGTATGGAGATATTTTTCTCTTTAACAGGTTTCCCCGCATATAAAAATCGATTGTAAAAATACTGAAAAGAATGGCAGCAGAAACGCAGACACTGAACTTTGGACCTGAATGGTGAGTTTTCAAAATCTCATCCTCTTTGATATTGGATGACTAATGCAGTAGTAAAATATTTGACAGGTGCTAGGTGGTTTATAAGTATGCATGTTTTTGAGACTTCTGCTTTATGTGCCTAGCTGAAAACAATGTGTGCTAGTTCAGCAATAAATTATATTTGGTAAATGAGTGCATTCTATACTTATTAAAATTTTTTTCTTGGTCTGGTTACGTATGTAATGATGGTAGGAGTCCCACCACCCTAGAAAATTATTTTCTTTTTATTTGAGTCATTGTCTAGGTGCATATACAATTTTATATAAGTATAATTATAACATTTTTATATCTGTATGTTTTCTGCCACATTGTTTTGTCATGGCTATTCATAGACTTCGTTTGAGAGATAGTTTTCATTGAAGTATTATTTTAAAGATGCACTAGGCAGGTAGTTCAGTATTATACTGGCTATTAGCAGTAGCCTGTCTAGGATTGAGTTAGCATTGGCCATAATAACGATTAATTGACCTTTGAGTCTCTTACAGATGTGTTTGGACCCCGAATATGGAATTCTCATGGAATTTTGAGATCCATCACATTGTAGTGTGACTTCCCCCCTCCCCTCCTTCCTTTTTCCCCAAAGTTGGTGATTGAAGATCCTCTCTTCAGTGGCATGAATAATAATAATAATTACTTTTCTATTCAAACCTCGGGCAACCCCTTTGGTAATATCAGAAACAGTATCTAAAATAGATAAATTGGATTTGTGTCGTAAACATTCTTGGTTGTTGGGGTAGGGGTGATTCAATAAATGATGCAGACTTCCTGTAGTAACTCTCTATTTGAGGAGTCTTTAACTTACCCTATTAGAAACATTTCTTTTTATAGTTTTCTTAACCTTTATAACCAGTGTTTGGAGACAGAGGAAAAATCACTATTTGAAGTTCTGAGAACTGATGCAACTCTTATATTTTGAGAGTTTATTTAGAACATGTTGACCTAAGTAATGCTGTACTTACTTTAGTTATTCCTTTATATTTTTAAAACAATTTTCTTATCAAATTAGTATATTTCTAAAAAATTAGAAATTACTAGTAAGCCAGAAAATATCGTCATAATTTCAACACCCATGGTACACACTGTAAATATCTTGGTGTATCTTTCCAGGTGGTTTTCTGTATGCTTATTTGTATATATGTACATTTGTTTTTACAAAAATGAGATCATACTGTACCTTCAGTTTTGTAGCCTGCTTAAAGAAACAACCAAATCAGAAACATCTTTTTTTAATCAATAAATGTTTTCTGTTCTATTAAATGGTTGCATTGTATGGATGTACCATCATTTATTCAGCTAGTCCTCTACGTGTGGCATATAGAAGCTGTTCTCAGTTATTCATTATAAAAATATTTTAATGAAAATTCTTATAGTGTAAATCTTTACACCTTAATAATTTCTTTTATCAGGTGGTTTTAAATTCATATAGGTTACTTTGTAAACCATTTTGTGTACAACTCATCTGCCTTTATCTAGAATTTGTAACTGCTTCTTTTTTATATTTACATACCGTTGTCTGTTTCTTCATAAAAACATGGTGAAAATTGTCAGCTAATTTAAGGAAGTTGTTTTTTTCCAGCATCCTGCTATTTATAGGTAACAGAAAGGGAACACCAGGAATTTAGACAACAAAAGGAAAACAAAAACTGATAATGTTTTAGAGTCAATACACACTTAACTTGATGCCCTATATCATGGGTTGGCAAACTATGGCCTGTGGGGCCATAAAGTTTTTGTAAGTAAAGTTTCATTGAAAGACAGAGACATTTATTTGTTTCCATATGTTCGGACTGCCTCCATGCTACAATGGCAGGGTTGACAGAGGCCATTTGGTTCACAGAGCTTAAATATTAATTCTCTGGCCCTTTACAGAAACAGTTTGCTGGCTCCTGCCCTACACTATGAGTTCTCAAGGTCGTCTCATTCTTTTTTTTTTTTTTTTTGAGACGGAGTCTAACACTGTCACCCAGGCTGGAATGCAATGGTGCAATCTCAGCTCACTGCAACCTCTGCCTCCTGGGTTCACGTGATTCTCCTGCCTCAAACTCCCAAGTAACTGGAATTACAGGCACACGCCACCACACCTGGCTAATTTTTTGTATTTTTAGTTCAGATGGGGTTTCATTATGTTGGTCAAACTGGTCTTGAACTCCTAACCTCGTGATCCACCCGCCTCAGCCTCCCAAAGTGCTGGGATTACAGGTGTGAGCCACCACACCCAGCTAAGGTCATCTCATTCTAAATAACATGTAGTATTGAGCATCTTCCAATAGTATCTTACACATCCTCCTCTTTATTGATACTCTGAAGTTTTATTTGATGGTATTTCACTTGATCGGTTCAGTGTTTTGTACAAAATTTGAATTAAGGTAGCTTTAAACAGAGGGCAGTCACCATTTCCATCCTTAAAGAGCAGCCTCACCTAATTGTACATCTGTTACCTTGCAGACATTATAGCTTAGGAGCATTCCCTTAGTCATCTGAAATGCTGATGAACTGAGGAATGGAGGTGTAGGTAGGCATAATGCCCTATTTGTATCATCTGTCAAAATTCCTTCTGGCAAAGGGAAATTATGCAGCCCTTAAGTAACCCAGGTAATCTTGAGCCGGAAGGTTGCAGCATGAGTAGAGAGTACTACCTTATTTTTCTTCATGTAACATTACATTTTTTATGAAACTTGAGGTAAAGAGCTGTGCCAGGGTACTTGAGAATCAAGATTTAGATAGATGACATTGAACCAGTGTGCAGTTAACTCTAAATGAGACAGAAACACTTAGTGATACTGTGTTTACCACAGTCATCATTTTTGTGAATAATGTAAAACATAATGTTCAATAAAGGATGCTGAAAATGAATCAATTTATTTGTATCTGGGGGCAGTTGTGAAGATGGGAGAGCATTGAAAATTTTGGTAGGGACAGACCATGAATGGCTGTAAGCTTTAACTTTTTTTTCTTTCCTCTCTTGGATGGAGTTAGTTTCACTGTTGCCCAAGCTGGATTGCAGTGGTGCGATTTCAGCTCACTGCAACTTCTACCTCCTGGGTTCAAGGCATTCTCCTGCCTCTGCCTCCTGAGTAGCTGGGATTACAGTCACCCACCACCATGCCTGGCTAATTTTTGTGTTTTTAGTAGAGACGGGGTTTTACCATGTTGGCAAAGCTGGTCTTAAACTCCTGACCTCAGGTGATCCCCCTGCCTCGGCCTCCCAAAGTGCTGGGAGTGTAGGCATGAGCCACCTTGCCCTGCCAAGGCTTGAACTTTTTAAGGTCCGTGGAATCATTAGGTCTTAGATTATTTTTGTACTTAAAAAAGTATATTGCATTATCGTCAAAACAGTTTAAAAGGTTATAATACATTTAATGCCAAGTATATCTTTTCTAGATATAAAGCAATAGTGTCTTTCTTTGCTTTCATTTCCTCAAATGCTACCACCTTAGACCTTTACTGACAATATATAACTCTCCACCCCTTATTCCCTATCTCTCTTCCTTGCTTAATTTTTCTTCATGTTTTGTATCAAAATGTAACATGCCAAATATTTTACACATTTATTTTATTATTTATATCCTATCTTCCAACCCCTACTAGACTGTGAGCTCCATTGAGAGCAGATACTTTGATGTAGATCTTTGTACAGTTTACTGCTGTATGTCCAGTGCCTGGCACATAGGTACTGAATAAATATTTATTAAATGGATGAGTGAATTGTTGGAAAGTAGTTTTTAATGTTTTGCTATTGTAAATGATACGTATATATACCCTTGAACAGTTTTGTTGCTATCTCTGATTTTGATTAATTTCTTAAAAGTGAAGTTATTAAATCAAAAGTTTTACTTTTAAGTCTTTGGATGATACGTGGACAGTTTGGCCACCTGAAGAATTGTGTGAATTTAATTCTCATCTCCTGTGTGTTTATGCTTGACAAAACACTAAGCACTGTCTTCATAATATTTTTTTGGTGCGAAATTCCTTAGATTTAGGTCTTTTAGAGTTTTTTATTGTTAGTCTCAGTAACAAAATAAACCCACTCATTCCAGAAAATCTGGAGGAAACGGTACAAGAGGAAAAAGAAAAGGGTTTGGCGTGGGCCGGGCACGGTGGCTCACGCTTGTAATCCCAGCACTTTAGGAGGCTGAGGCAGGTGAATCACCTGAGGTCAGAAGTTCGAGACCAGCCTCGCCAACATGGTGAAACTCTGTCTCTACTAAAAATACAAAGTTAGCTGGGCGTGGTGGCACATTCCTGTAATCCCCGCTACTTACAAGGCTGAGATAGGAGAATTTTGAACCAGGGAGGTGGAGGTTGCAGTGAGCCAAAATTGCACCATTGAACTCCAGCCTGGGCAACAAGACTGAGCAACAAGAGCGAAACTCCTCAGAAAAAGAAAGAAAGAATGAAAAGGATTAGGCATGGTGGCTGGCCCAAGGCTCCCAGCACTTTGGGAGGCAGGGGCATGAGGATCACTTGAGCTCGGGAGTTCGAGACAAGCCTAGGCAACACAGTGAGACCCCGTTCTCTACAAAAATAAAAACAATTAGTCGGGCATAGTGGTGCTCATGTTTGGTGTCAGCTACTTGGGAGGCTGAAAGAGAATTGCTTGAGCCTGGGAGGGTGAGGCTGCCGTGGTTGTGCCAGTGCACTCCAGCCTGGGTGATAGAGCAAGACCCTGTCTCCAAAAAAGGAAAAGAAAACAAAAAGACCACCAAAGGGAAAGATCTAAGATACCCTAATCCTACCACCTGAAGTAGCTTTTATTGGTTTCTATCCTATTTGCAAATGTATCTTCAAGACATTTAAAAAACAAATATTTTGGCCGAGTGTGATGGCACATGCCTGTAATCCCAGCACTTTGGGAGGAAGAGGCGGGTGGATCACTTGAGGTCAGGAGTTTGAGATCCGCCTGGCCAACATGGTAAAAACCCATCTCTACTAAAAAAAAAAATTACAAAAATTAGCTAGGT